GAGCTGTGGCGCCGTAGGAGACAGTAACCTCATGCAGCTATTTTTGAAATTCTAGCTAAGAGTAGAAATTCATTTTTAAATAGAAGTCTTCCTTGGCGTTGCCGTCCTGACTGCTTAAGGTCCCTAATATTCCGTGGACGTCGCACAAACCTCAAGTTACATTATCTCACAACTTCAAACAGCTTGATTCAGGGCATATCAGGTAAACTGTGTTGAGTCATTTCCTCTGAGGTAAACAGGCGTCCTTCAATGAATTTTGAACTCCTGTTTCATTTATCTTGTAAGCATGCAGGAATTTTTGCGTGATGGTTAGGTCCAATGCATCATTGAGCTTTGAGTCACAGGATGTGACAACCGCCTCCCGGTTAGCTCAATGGATAGAGCGCTGGACTGTAGTGCGGGAGGTCGAGGGTTCGAGCCCCGGCCGGACCAGCACTCAAAGTCTTAAAATAATTNAATGAACTTCAACTTCAACAACAACAACAACAACATGTGACATAGCTTGGTATGTGTTATGTTCTTGTAGCCTGTTTACAATAATTTGAACTCGTGGCCCCACTGCTCAGTTCTGTTAAAATTACCTTTGATTATAAGTAACTCACTTCTATATTATTCAGATCATCATTTTGACCGAGCTGTTGATTTCTGAGCAATTTCCGTTCAAATCAAATTTTTCACGAAATATTGGTGACTAAAATTTTTTGTAGTGATAAGAAGTATATTTTTGTACAGCATTTTTGTTACACAAAACTGTAGCTGTAGTTATTACCTTTTGAGTAAAATAAATAAAGCGAAGGTGCTCTTCCGTATTTATTTTGCTTGCCACGTTCTCATTCTATTTGTAATGTTGCTGGTTAAATGAATGATACCTATTCTGTTACCATCTTTCATGCAAGACCACGGCTACTTGCCTTATAAATATCTCTTTCCCTTGAAACTTGGACAATAAATCTAGGACTCATGGGTTAAAGTTATATTTGTGGATAATGCTCGTTACAGTCGACTTTAAAACAGTCTGCGTCAAATATTTGAATAAAACTAAATGGAAATTTAACAATGGACATTCAGCTTGTTGGCACTTCTTGTCCACTGTTTCACGTCCTTTGTTGGGCTGATAATTCTCTCGGTATCGTGTTACCTAACCGCGTATTGCTGATTGCGTAACTTCCCTTGTCTCATTGTTTTACGTCAAAAATCAGTATGAGATCGTCGTAATTCGCATTGCAAAGTAGTTCATGTTTGTATTCGGAGAGCCGAACAGATCTTGTAATTTTTAATTTCTTTTCTCATATCTTTATTTCAAATTTTGCTTGTTCCTCGATTCTTGGTTGGGTTTTTCGAGTGCTGTTACATTCCCTTTTTAATCCATTTGTTTTCTAAAATGTACGCATGTAAGTCTGTTCAAGGAGTCCTGTTTACAATTTGTTTCAGAAAATTGAACAAAACTTACTGCCTCAAGAAAATTTACCCTTAAGTCATCCAATTTAGTTTCGAAGATATGTTAGGATGTAGTATGTTGGTAAATGTCGGCTTCAATCAAAGTGTTAAAAACGTCAATATAACTTACTAATGAAAAAAAGAATTGGGATCATTTAAAAAAAAATTAATTGTTTTTCTAAGTCGAAAAAATTAACAATGCAGTACTTTCTTTCATAGACTGTTATCTAAAAATTGTACTTTAATATGTCAGTTGTTTGTCGTTTTTTGTGAATTAAGGTGTTTCATTTGGTTTTTGTTTTGTTTAATAACGGCTGTATCCGGCGTTTTATAAGTGAGATCTTTTTACGTAACACCATTTACATCACTGACAACTTTGACATTTACCAGTTTAATATATTTTTTTCCATGTTTATACAGCTGATTATACAAGCAAAAGAAAGAACTTCCGATCGACTACTTTTAAAGTTTTAAGATACTAAGCTCTGGTTTTATTTTTATTTTTTTATCTCTTTACGCTCGTACTATGTGTATCTCAGTTGAGGGGTATTTCTTGCAAATTTGATGTTGAATAAGCTGGATATTTCTGGCTGGGAAAACGAGTGTGAAGAGATGTTTACCAACACTCTTATACCGTTGTTGACTATAACCTCTCTTAAAATCTTTTCGCGACTTGAAGTGGAATAAAATGAGCTCTACTAGTAGGGCACCCCCCTTTCTGCAAAATGAATATAAAAAAAAAAAGAAGAGAAAGGCAAATGTATCAAAAGTGGATACAACATATAGTGAAGAATACACTTCCTTAGCATGTTTTTTCCCTACGAATTAAACCGTCACGTCCTTAAACTTTTGGAAGTTCATGTTTGATCTCCTCAGTTCAAATATCATTTTTTAATAAAACAAGAATTGTTAATGAAAGTCCTGATGTTGAGAATATTGTGTCCTTAAAAACAGCGTCAAACGGCCAGAACACAACGTTTTCATGTTTTTTTGACAGCATCGAAAGTACACAAAAAGAAATTTCGCGTGATTGGATCGTGCAAACAAAGGCAGTTACTCGATATAAAGCTGTTCAGATCCCAAAGGCACTGCAAAAGGTTTTCAAGATGAGGCTGGCGGTGTTGTTTTTGGCGTCCGTCGCTATGGCTTACTGCGAACCAGTCGTTGAGGAACAAGACCCTTCTATAGAGGATGAAGGACAGCAAGAAATGGAGAAACGGCATCACTCAAATTATCATTATTTGGCGGTAAGGGGGTCTGGTCTAAATGAAAGACTAGCTAGTG